CTGGGCCTTTACGCTTGATCTTTTATGTAACGTGATACTCTTTTGATTGCTTTTTGCTGACATCTGGCTTGTTCCTTCCAGACATTAAAAAATACCTGGCTGCAACGCTATGCTGTCAACAGTGCTGACCCCGGGGTCTTTGTTCTGCTGGCTTGTGGCACCATCTCCAGTACCTGTGGACAGCTTGCCAGTTACCCGCTGGCTCTTGTGAGGACGCGCATGCAGGCCCAAGGTGAGAGCTCCAGGGGAGGGTGGGAACTCCTGTCATGGTCCCTGAGCAGGGCAAAGGTCCTCTTGTGAAAACACTGCCACAGGGGCTGTCACTGAGCAGCGGGCTGTTGGCCGTGCTGCAGGACACTGGACTTTGTGCTGCCATCTCAGCACCTCCAGGACAGAGGTCCTGTTTTGCTCAGGTCAGAGTTTTGGGCTAAGGGTGTCTGCAGAGCAGTTTGGGAGAGTGGCTGCGTTGGCCCCACGGCCGTGGCTTGCTGGGGAGTTAGATGCTGTCCTCCAGGAAGCACCTTTGCTCTGTGAACATCCACGGGAGGCACATGAGTCAGAACTGCTCTGTGGAGCAGGGGTGACCTCGAGGTGTTTTCACCACCTGGGCTGCATTACTCATCGTGGCTTTTCCTCTTGCAGCTTCAGTGGAGGGTGCTCCCGAAGTGACAATGAGGGGACTGTTTAAACACATTCTGAAGACAGAGGGAGCATTTGGTCTGTACCGGGGCCTGGCACCAAACTTCATGAAGGTGATCCCAGCTGTCAGCATCAGCTACGTGGTGTATGAAAACTTGAAGATGACGCTGGGCGTGGAGTCACGGTGACCAGGAGATGCTGAGGACTTTGAACTCTGAAATCTTGGGGTGCAATCCCAAGATGTGTAGCCATCTCTCATTCTGTGAATGTGTCGACACTAAGCTGACTAAACAAAGCTGTGAAATCTCAGATAGTTTGTGAGTCAGTAAGGGGGAGGGGAGGACCTGGTGTCCGTTGCCATCTTGCTACTCAGAGCTCCACATAAACCATTGCGTGGTCCTTTTTGTTGGGCCTTTTGGGAGACCAGGAGATGAACTCCTGGGAGAACCTGAAGGAGGGAGTTGCTGAGGTCAGTTCTCAGCAGAGTAGCAGAGGTTTGGGTAACAGGTCTGCTCTCAGCGTGCTGCACGTCCAGAGCCGTTTGCCTGTGGACGGGCACCTTCTGACTTGCTGAAAGAGCTTCTTTTTCCATTCAGAGAGTTTTATTCCATTCAGTTATTTAACTTCCTACCCGTTGTTAAAATTTGTACAAACCTTGTGTAGGAGCTGCTGCCACACCAGGCTTGTTGTTATGTTTACATATATTCCTTTGGGTAGGAGATGTTCATGTTCTGCTTCCAAGACTTGACATGACATGTAACTTCAAACTATTCTGGTTTTGAGGGCTGGCGAGCAGTGGTTTATTCAGACAGGCTGAAGGTTACTTAGGCCAGCCTGATGAAGAATTAGCATTATTTATTTTTTATAGATTTAAGTGTGTCTCATAAATCCACTAACAAGATGCACTTAACTAACCGAAGCAGCAGACTAGAGCCTGCATGCCTGTATCCTTTGCATGCCGGATTGGCTTGTCTTATACTCAGCAGGGGCTTGGAAAGGGCAAGGCAGGAGAGCCCTGGAGGGCCTGGCACCTTGATGCACTTGATGCATGGCTTTAGTTGAACAAAAGACAACATTTCACAGCTCCTGTGCAGTTGTGTGCCCAGCACAACACGAGAGCCCCTGTGCAGCGTTGCATGGACCTCTGAATTCCATCCTGCCTGTGCCACGGGTAGCTGGTGGACCTTGTCCAAGCCCCGTGCCTACGCTGCTATCTGTCTCTTTAGACCTCATAGATTGATGTTCAGGTTTGCATTAGCAAAGTCCCCGAGCTGGGAGCGTGGCTGCTGTGGGCAGGGGTGCTAGGGAGAGGGGCTGGTTGTCACTGGGAGAGGTGAGCTTTCAGTCCTGCAGACGTGCTTGCTTTTCTTTCAAAGGGTGCTTTTCATAAGGCTAAGGGAAAGACGTGGCTTTAAAATTTCTCTGACTGCATTATGGGCTATTTTAGTTGATAGGATCTGGCTTTTGAGGCCCGGGAGATCCTCATCTAACTTCTCATTTTGGGCAATATGGACCAGCGTTGCATTCCACTGTTTTACTGCTTAAAGCATATTTATTTTGTATTTATTTGAACAGAGTTATGTCAGACTATTTTTATAGACTTGTTTAAATATTGTTACTGTGCTTGTATTTCTCCTGTCCTAAAAAAGTTCTGTTTGTTCTCTCATATGGTGCAGCTGAGTCGTGAGGAGGGACGTGTGTGCCTTCCCCGTGGGGCTCGAGCTGCCTTTCCCATGTCTGGGGTTGTTGCTGGAGAACCTCAGCCCAGAGAAATTCTGTAGCAGGAAGCCATAGGAGAGCAGGGAGCTGGTGGGGAAGCAGACCCTTGGGAGCAGGGGAGAGGGAGAGCTGCCAGGCTCACCTGGTTTTGGAATTGCCTGGGTGCAGGGCTGAAGGGCTTTCAGGTGGATGGCTGGAGTTGGGAGGTTGAAGGTCTGTGTATGTTGCATGTCACAACAGCTAGTTGAGAATGATCTTGGGGAGTCTTTAGGAAAGAGGGAAGGGAGAGATCTCAGGGTCTAAAGAAAAGACAAGCTTCCAGAGAGATGGAAGGAAACTTGCACTTGGACACAAGCTGCTGCAGTTGTTCTTTGAGGCTGAGTTGGCAGCTCCTGCTGCTGAGCCAGTGCCCTCCACGTGTAAACGGGCATGGGGGAGGTGTGGGTGAGAAACCAGAAAGGGGTTTGGTAGTGCTCAGCACCTGCCATTTTGCTGATGGATTTTGGTGGTTCATGGGGAGTCTTCCTCATGAGGCTCTGCCTTGGCTATCCAGTCCTGTCAGTAATTAACCACATGGAAATTGAACTGGTCTGGATTACTGATCTGTTTGTCTTTCTTCCCCCACCCTCCCACCCCTGTCCTCCTGTCACAAATTCTGCAGTGGCTCCTTCCTACCAGTGTGGCCTAATGGGAATATGAATATCAGAATGCAAAAACCAATGCAAAATGACAACCATCTTTGTAGCTGTAACCACAAAATTGTTAGAATGCAAATCTAACTCAGATTCTTCATGTAGGGAACAGTCTGCTAATAAAGGTCTGTTAAAGAGATGCCACATGTCTGTGTCTTGCTTGGTATGGTTCATGGGTGCTGTTTGTGGCCAGACCCTTCCTGGGATGATTCTCACCAAGGACACTGACGATGAGAAGGATTCTCCTTACAAGGACCTGGGAGAGCAGAATTCTTCTTAAAGGCAATCCAGCAAAGCTGGGAGCAAGGCTGATGGTGGCAGTGAGGAGCTGGGGATGTTCAGGTTCTGTTAACCTGCCTGAGTGGTGCTGGGCTTTGCTCCTCTGTGTAGTACCTGTAACTCTGGAAACTACAGCTCAGTTACACCTCAAAGGAACCTGGCTTGCAGGGCTTTCAAAATAAAGGCTTTGTACAATTTGTTTTCCTTAAATAAAAACCTGACCAGGAGCTATCCTTGAAGGTCGTTCAGGAGCCAGGGTAGCACAAGCAGCCTTATTTTGGGGAACAAAACTTGCCGCGGGGCCCGGCCTGGGTTTGTTGGTTCCTTACGTCCCTCGACTGCAATTCAAGGCTTTTATTCAGCTATAAATCCACCCGGAGTCTGGCTCTGTGTAATCTGAGCCGCTGCTCCCCAGCGGTGTCAGCCTCGGTCAGCTGAGACGCTGCTCGGGCAGGCTCAGGGCTGCTGGCACCGTCCCCGCTGCCTCCCCCCCCCCTTTTGCTCTGGGCGTTATCTTCGGTGGCACACGCCGATGGAGAGGTCTGAGGCAAGGGCTGGCCACCTACCTGTGCCCTCTGAGCAGGAGGGAAGCGGTGGCTGTACCGCACCTTGTAAAATCCTTTGTTCAGGGATGGGGCCAAAGGCTCAACTCTGGAGAGCTGCACAGGGACCGGCACCCTGGTGCTGCAGAGGGAGGAGCAGGGCTCCCCCCGTCCTCTCTTCACTCTGGCTTTTCTCTTCTGCCTTTTTAAGGAAGAGAGATATTTTCAGTGCTTAATTACTAGGTTAGAGCTGACTGAATTGCTCTCCAGGCACGCAGGAAAACAGTCTCTTTATAACTCCACCCCTCTGTGTGGAGCACAGTGACTGACGGTGCTTCCCTCCCCTTGGGGCTGGGGGTGGGAGAAGGGCTGTGGGAGGTGCCCAAGGAGTGCAGGGGTGTTCTGGAGGCACCGAGAGCAACGTGGATCTTGGCACCTGAATCTTCTCACCTCAGGGATGCCAAGGTCATTGGGAAAGGAGGAAACATTGCCTTTTTCTCGGAGGAAGTAAAAATCCAGCCTGGGTTGGGTGAGCACCCCCTCCCTCTCCGGCAGGAGGGTGATTTGTCAGTGTTGTCACACTGCATTGCACACCTCGCTGTGGCTGAACGTCACCGGGGAGCTCCTGCCTGCTCCAAAGGGCTTGGGCAGGAACATCTGCCCCCGCTGGGCTACAGCTGGCACTCAGGCTGCTCTCACCAGAACTGGGTGTTGCTAGCTGAGCACCCTCTTCCTCTCTGCCTGTGGAATTAAAGAGAAATTTCTAGCTGAGCACCCTCTTCCTCTCTGCCTGTGGAGTTAAAGAGAAATTTCTAGCTTTCTGGATGCCCCAGTTCCTCATCAAATGCCTGGCCCACTCATTTAAAACAGTTAATGGTTGCCCTCTCCTGGTTAGCCTCCATTACTGCTCCATTCAAGCACTGCCTGTTCCTTCCAGCCTGGTGTGAGTCGGCGCTGAGGGAACTTCCACGTGTCCCCTTGTCCCACATCCCTCCCGGCTCCATGACACACGAGGTGAATGGGGCGTTCAGGTTCTTTTTGGATGCCTCCCTTTGGATCTCTGCAGCACCCCTGCTCTCCAACAGCTCGGCAACAACACGTGTGGAGTTTGAGCAAGACATTTATTGCCTCAGGTGGGGTTTGCTGCCCGTGGTCCCAGGGTGGGGGTGCCCGGGGGAGGTGATGCCGTGACTGCAGCCTCAGGCTCCGGGCATGGGCTGTTTCCTTTCTCAACTTCTTTCTCTTCACACAGCTCCTTCCAAAACAACGACAGCATAAATGGAAGTGTCAGTGCACCAGCAGGAGAGAATTTACTGAAGAAGAGTGCATTTTTCTTTTCCTTTTAATCAGATTATGAGTCTAAGAGGCCCTAGAGAAGCGACGGGCTTCCCCACACTGCCCTGGGCACAGACGCTGGGTGTGGAGCTGCTGGTGTTCTGCCTGTGCTATGAAGAGGAACCCAGGTTTTGGGGCAAAGCTGTGACACGGTGGGAGGTCAGTAAGAGAATGAAAGGGGGATTTAGACTTTTTGAGAAATCAGTAAAAAGCTCCTGCTACCCAGTCACCTGGAATTAGTGTGGTTTAAGTTCTGCTGATGCCTCAGGCTGACGCAGGGGTATGTGAGCCTCTGCACTGGTGCCTGCTCACATCCAGCTCTTTCAGCCTGATGACAAAAATCCCCAAAATCTTTTCTGTATTTGTTTAATCCATTTCATTTTACTCCTCAGATGCAATGTCCAGCCTCTCAGCTGAGCCCAAAACCCTTCTCTGCTAACAGCCATTGCACCAGGGCTTGTAAGGACACATAATTTTGGCTAATTCTACTCTTGGCTTTCTCTGAACATGATTTGTCTTACCCAAATTTAAATGTGAGCCAGCTGTTAATTTGGGGGGGGGCTGAGCCCTGCCTGTTGTCTTAACAGGGAAAGGAGACCTGCCCCTGCTCCTGCCCCACCACGAGGGTCTCAGCCTGTGCCTGTGTCCCTGTCCCCAGTGCCTCTGAACCTGAACCTGGGGGGGGATAGGTCTAAAAGAAACATTTTGAGGCTGGGGGTTATCAGGGGCTACATCAGGTTCAGTCTGGAAGCTCAGGGGCTTTTGGGCACTGCTGGAAGCTCAGAGTCTCCTGCCTTGGACAAGCAGATAGCCAGGACAGGGAAAGGTAAGGTGTTTTTCCACCCCTCACTTCACAAAAAAGATCCTCATCAAGCTGACTTGGGGACTGAGTCATGTGCAGGATAAAAATGTCCTAAATCAGGTGGCAGAGGTTAGGGCTAGGGCTAGTTTGGAAAAACTGAGGGAAGAAGTCTGGTTTTGTGGGATTGGATGGTGTTGCCTTTTTCCTGATGTCCCACGGGACCAGAAGCTCAGGGCTGGACCCCAACCCAACAGGCCTGTGTGCTGGAGCCCCACGCTGGGGCAGGAGGACTGGCTTGTGCAATCCTCCTGAAGCCCATTTACAGTGAGCCAGGCAGTGAACACACACGTCACGCAGCACCTCGAGGTGCTGGAAAAGCAAATCCCAGCCTAAAACAACCTGAGGTTTTTAGGGGTTTCCATGGTTGTGCCTTTGGCTGAAGTGGGGCCATGCAGTGCCCTAGGGCACCACCCCACCTGCCCCTTGCTGCAGCCTCTGTATTTCAACACATTCCTGAATTTCAGGGTAAAATCAGGGATTTCAGGACAAAAAATCCCATCCTTTAGTTCTCTCTCCCCTGGCAGGGGTGGCAGTGACCAGGTTTCCCACTGGAGATGCTCGAGCCCTGGCACTTGCTCTGGGGAATCATGTCCCTGCAGGAGGGGTGTTCTAAACCACTGTCCCTGTCAAACCACACCTGTGTTTAGCCCCTAAACCATTTCCACCACCTTGGAAATCTCTCTCCAAGAGCACACTTGGGTGGCTGGAGCTATGGCCCGGGGCCTGGCACCCCTGCCAGTGGTGTGGCTGCGGGGGCGCTTGACGCCCCACCCAGCCACGGACCCTTTTCCAGGGGGCGTACACGATCCCCGCTGTGCTCAGCCCCAGCCCCTTGGCATGGTGCTCAAATTCCTCCCGCTGGGCTCTGCTCTCACTCAGGTTTCGGGCTGGAAAAGAAGGAGAAGCATTTGTTAGGTGTGAAATAGGGACCAGCAGCCTTGGCAGAGCCCTTGCTGTGTCTCTCTCAGGGTCTCTCACTCCCATGGGGAATACACCTGAGCAAAACCAGCCTTGGCCATCAGTTTTGTTTAACCCTCTCCTCAGTCAGGTCCTGTCTGCTTGGAGGGGGTGTGAGACAGTCTGAAGCTCCAGGGGCGTTGGGAGGGGCCAAGGCTGAGTATAGGGGCTGTTTTCTGTAACTGTGTTTAAACTCTCTTAGGCAACTGCTCTGCAGCTTCAAGGGCAGTGGGAAGCCTCACCTAAAGTGCTGCTTTGTGGGCTTGTGGGTAGATCTGATCGGCTTTGCCTGTCCTGCAGAGCCACGTGCTCTGCCCTGGGAGGTAAGCACTGAAAAACCATGGTTGGCTTGAAAATACTGAGATTTTAGAATGATATCGATGCTGAATTGTGTTTGCTTCCTGTTCTTTGAGTATTTGTGGCGCAAGTGGGTTTTGTCTTTAACCTGCTCTTTCTGCTCTGCCAAGAGCTTGAGGTTTTAATGTGGGATTTGTAAATACTCCTGTGACCCCTGGCGTGGCGTCTCAGGAAAATCACTGACTGTTGGTGCAACCAAGCTGCTGCATGGGGTTAGCTGATAAGTTCATGTGTGTGCCCCACGATAGCTTTAGGTTATTTTAGGGTGGAGTTTGCCTACCGTAGAGATACAGTCCCAAATACATCCTCTCCCTCTGCAGCTGGTACTGGATGAGTAAAACGTCTTCAGAGCTGAGGTTCATCAGCATCCCCACGGTTTGCTGGGTCTTGGCTTTGAGAGAACAGAGTCAGGGAACAGCCACAAGAGTCAGATTTTTCAGTGCTGCAGCAGCAGCAAACCACAGCTCATGTGTGGGCGATGCAGGCAGACCCCGGGGTTCCAGCCTGGAGCAGCAGGGGAGGAGTGATGTCCTGACACAGGGGGAGTTGTTTGGCTCTTCGTTTACTTGGACTGTATTTCTTAAGTGTGGGCCCGGGGTGTGAAGGAGCCAAAGTCACCCAGCTCCCACCCTGTCACCACAGCGTGCTGGATGCTGTGGCTCGCTGGTGCTCAGGGGTCTGCCCAGCCCCACAGCTTGGGGGGGGGCTGCAAAAATGGGGAGAAACTGTCCCCTGCTTGCAGGATGCTGTCTTGGCTGGGTCAAACTGTACCTCGCAGGGTTGCAATTCCCACCCCAAACGCTCACCCCATTTCCTCAGGGAGGAGGAAGCAATTCAGAACACAAGGCTTCGTTAATTAGCTGAAACCTGCCCTGAATGTTCCTTTCCTTCCCACCCTCCTCACTGAGGGATTGTGAAATAACTGTGCAATAACTTCCCAAGTGGAGCAGTCTTCTCCTGCGGGGATGGGGCAGGTTGGCTCCGTGCTCCTGGCATGACATTGCTCTGTAGGTATTCGTGTGGTTTGATGGTGGGGCTGAAATCCCCAGTGTGACCCTGGGTGCCCCTGGCCCTGGGGAACTGTTTGGAATCCATGGAGGCATTAAACAGAGAAAATAACCAGGGAGTAGAATACATCAGAGGATGCAACATGGACACGGGCCCTTTGTGTGTGTCAGCCCACCCAAAATCAGAGTGGGTGATGACCCCACTGGCTGTGCCCACCCACACTGCTCACCGTGCTTCACCAGCGTGGGGTTACCAGCAGCCACCTCAAAGTAGGTGGAGTTGTTGGTGAGACATTGGTCCCCCCTGGAAAAAGAGAGACAGGAAGGAGTGACATGAGAAGGAGAGTGGAGACCCCAGCTGTGGGCTGGAAAGGACCAGCAAAGCCCCAGCCCTGGCCCTGGCACTGCATGGGGCATGTGCCCCCAGCTGTGGGCTGGGAACCCGGCCCTGCCAGCTCCTCCCCAGGGTTAGCTGCTCTCACTGTTAAAATTAAGCCATTTCTCCCATGCATTTGTCTGACCTCCACCTGCAGCTCGTGATCTCAGCCCAGCCCTTGTCCCAGCTCCTTGGTGGTGAGACTTTTCCACCCCAAAATAACTGAAACTGTAAAGAGCTGCCTGTGTTGGCCCAGGAAAATTCATCCCCCTAAAGTCTGACCCTGGGAGGGAAACAGCTTTTGGTGCCTGGCAGAGCTGGCAGCTGCAGTGCAGGGACCTCTGGAAAGGGCTGCTCCTGCAGAGAGGTCTTCTCCTTGCCCATGTCCTGCAGCATCCATGCCAGCAGAGCCTGGTGCCTGCAAGCCCTCTGCACCCTGCAAAACTTGCCTAAACCTGGGGGCTGTTGAAATAGATAACAAAAAGAACAGATGAGGAAGAGAGAGGAGGGGAGAATATGCACAGAGCAGCCAGGAGAGGTTCTTCTTGGGAAGAGCAGTCTGAAACCCTGCTTGTCTCCTGTGCTGACAGGGCTGCAGGGGCTGGGGGGAGGTGGGCTGGGGCAGAGACCCAAGGGCTGCATCTTACACGGCCACACGCTGGGTGATGAGCAGCTCCTGCCCCCCGCCCTGGGGCTCCACGAGGAGGTGGCCGTGGTCGATGAGCAGCAGCTCCAGGACGTGCTGGGGGAACTGGGCGGCCCCAGCCACGTACAGCCAGGTCCCCAGCAGCTGGCAGGAGAGAGGGAGGGGGCAGCGAGAGCTGTGGGGTGCACGAGGGGCGGCTCTGGGGGAGAGATTCCCACCCTCCCTGGGGCAGT